GTCTCCATAAACGAGCGACGTCAAAACGACTAGCGGGCGAGCATTTTTATCAGCGCTGCTCTGTCCGAAATGACAGAGAACATGCCAAACATTCGTTCGTCAACGACGGAATATAGGCTTTATTGCCGCTATAATTTTTTCATGCGCGCGCAATCTAATACAAATCGGTAACTTCGCAGGTGGCACGCATAAACGAGATGACAAATACACAAACACGCGAATAACACTAACTACACAACGACGACACGGTTACGCGAGTACGCAATCGTCGTTTCATCTCTCGTTGGATGCATTGTTTACTCGATTTCCGTAACAACTTTTTTCCCGAGCTTCACTTCTTATCTTTTAGAATATCTGATTTATCGAACAAGTGAGTTATGGATGAGATATAAACAACAATGCGTTGTTTGAAGCTCCAGTTACGTCACAACGGATCGAGTTGATTTAAATTTGAGATTCGTTGTCCTTTTAAATAAATAACAATTCTACTTGTAACATACACAAGTCAAAAGGAAATTCACTTAACTGTAGAACTACGCAGAAGAATTTTTAAGAATCGACGAAGATGTCAATTTGTTCTGACATTACTTTTTAAAAATCTGCATTTTGCAGTTTAGCAAATTGAATTAAATCGCATTTATAATATTTGATTCACTCTATAAAAAAAAAATTTGTTAAAAAATGTATATTTTTATTAGAATTACGTATAAAAATATTCGGCAGAATTTGAGAAACTTAGTGTGTATAATTGAAAAAAATATTGCGTAGTCTTAATCATCGAATGCAATTAATCATATATGATTGATTGTATTAAACATACTATTAAATTTATTGAATTTGCTGAAAAATCGCAAAAGATAAGAACAACATGATAGCAAAAATGTAATCTTGTTTTTTGACAATTAGTTATATAGAATTTCCAATTAATACTTTCAAGTTATTTCTTTGATATGTTTCGACTTGGACAATGTTTCATTTTTAAACTATTGATTGACGACGTATGTTGACAATTGGCATTATTATTATCAACGCCAAGACAATGTGCGTAATGAATATTACATAAAAATATCAAGATTATGAATCTCAAAGCTATCTTATAATCTAGCTAAGACGGTAAGATATGCAATTCTTATGATTTATAGAATTGAACAAAGTTCACGTGGAAAAATACAAATTGTAGTAAGGCATACGAGTGAGTGCGAATAACTAGTAACAAGTCTTATCATGGTCGAATGTGTACATGATTAAAAGTTCTCCATTACAATCATCTTAACGATCAAAGTCTTTTCGACAGTTTACGTATCTCTGTAAAAAAAAAAAGATACAAGATCGTACAAAAAAATTTACGTTTCTTATCTATCAGTGTATCAAACAACCTTTTTACCGCTAAAATGTATTGTCCACAGTTAAACAATCATATACAATGTTTACAATTTTTATATTCACGAAAGCAATACAGAAAGGAAGTTATATACGTAAATTACTAAGTGAACGTTTATCGTGAATATTCGTGAACGCAAAGAATTTCGTCTCGCATAAAAAAGAAAAAAAGAAAAACTCAAAAGAGAGAAACTCGTGGTAAATTGCATAAAAAAAAAAAAAATATCAAAGCGAGTGCACAACATACAAAAAAATTCTGTCATCGATCTTCACAGCGCTTTCTTTCGCAACGTAAGAAAGTCTTTTACGTATCTATCTCGATAATAATACATCAGAAAATCGTTATCCATTATCTATGACAACAGCTTCTCATATTCTTGATCGGTCCGCTTTCCAGAGGTTTCCGTTGTTCACTGGTGGTTCACCTCCAGTTTTTCCACCGTCTATATCGAATCGCCCCTCTTTCCTCTTCTCTATCTCTCTAAGTCAATTGGCCTCGGCGTCGTCGCTGAATTCCACATCGTAACTCTTCGTGATCAATTTGCAGGCTCGAGTCTTCTGTCGTCTGGTGGCTACGGCGCTGGTGCCGCGCTCCTTCCTGGACTTCCACGATTTTCGCGGGGGTTCCTCCTCGGGCACCTTAAACACCGTCGGGTTTTGCTCATTTGGCAGCAACTCGCACTCCGTGTCCGTCGTCGGCAGTTCCTGCATTATCTCCTCGTCGTCGTCCGACGTCGTCGAGTCGCCGTGCTCCCAGCTGACAGTTGCGTCCGTGTCACCCATCGCGACGTCGTCGTTGAGTCTAGCATGCGGACGATTGTAGGCCACGCTGCCGTCCGGATAATAATCCGACCCGTCCAACTGGTTGTTTAACCACGCCGTCGCTCTGGGGTTGGCTAAGCTAGAAATCGCCGGGTCTGATTGACGATCGGGGAGTGCACTCGTCGTGGTCGGGAATACGATCGGGAGATTCTATCGTGTGACGCCGAATTTTTTGTTTTTGTTTTTTTTTTTGATTTTGATTTTGATATGTACAAATTTTTTTTGCGTTTTGATCGATCAGCAATTTGGCAATTTTGTTCGTGTTGGTGGTTGTTGTTATGGGTCAGGTGGCAGAATTTCGTCGCGTGGACGACGACGATTCGGTGTAGACAGATTTCTTAAGCAACGGTTAAGGCGATGATCGGACGGTGGTTAGGTGCTCGGTGTTTGGCCGTGCGTGGT